CATGCCATATCTTTGTCCATTCAGCTGTTTTGGGACATCGAGGTTATTTCTGTATCTTGGCTATTTTAAATAGTCCTACAGTAAACATAGGAGTGCAGGTTCTGTTTTGATTTAGTACTTTTAGTTCTTTGGGTAGATTCCTAAGTGGAATTGTGGGGTCAAATGGCACATCTGTTTTTAGAGTTTTGAGGATCTTCAATAGAGTTGAACATAGTGTCTGTACCAGTGTACATTCTACCAGCTGTATAGGAAGTTGCTTTTCTCCACACCCTCACCAACACTTGGTGAATTTTGGTGTTTTTATTATGGCCATTCTCATGGGTGTGAGATGGTCTCTCACTGTGCTTTTGTTCTGCATTTCCCTGATGGTAAGTAATGGTGAGCATGTTTTCCTATGCCTATTGGCCAACTGCCTGTCTTCTTTGGAGGAGTGCCCATTTGTCTCTTCTGTCCATGTTATGATTGGGTTACATTTTCAGTATATATACTCTGTGTAGATCTTCAAAATCAGTCCCTCCTCAGATGTATGATGTGCACATATTTTTCTCCCATTCAGTAGGCTGTCTCTTATTTTTGGTTACTATCTTTTGAGCTCAACAGAAGGCTTTAGTTTGATGGATTCACAGTTGTTTTTTTATTTTTTTAAAGATTTATTTATTTATTTATACAAGCACTGGGTATAGTCAGAAGTGTGGGAGGGTGAGAGAATTCACCAGAGCTAGAGCAGAGAACAGAACAGGCAGACTAATGAAATACACTGCTGGGGGGAGCAGCGGGCGCTGCAGGAGAAGTCTGTTGCGACATGTGGGAACCCCTCCTGGGGGCGGGGACTGAACCACACTGCAGAGGCTGCAGGCAGCTTCACAGCCCAGTGCTCAATCACTGAGCACCAGGGGAGACCCTGGAGTCACAGTTTTTAATATTCTCCTCTGTTTTCCTTCTTGCTTGAGATATCCTTAAAGATATTTCTGATTTTATGCCAGAGTGTTTTATCCGTTTTCTTCTATGTATTTTATGTTTTCAGATCTTCTTATTCTTTCATGCATTATGAGTTGATTTTCATGTACTGTGTGAGACAGTTACCTAATTTCATTCTTTTGCATGTGACAGCCCATTTTCTCATTATCATTTATTGAAGAGATTTTCTCTGTTCCAGTATATATGTCTTTCCTTTATTATAGATGAGTTGTCCATATTGTTTATTTCTGGGCTCTCACATCTGTTCCTCTGGTCTGTATGTCCAGTTTTTTTTTTTTTCAGCACTGTGTTGTTTATTATATCTTCATGGTATTGTTTAAAGTCCAGAAGTGTGATACTTCTACTGTTCCCATTTTTTAGTCAGGAGATTTTTGACTATTCAGGGTCTTTTGTGTTTCCATATGAATTTCAGTAATTAAAATGATGTGTATTTTGAAGAATGCCATTGAATTGGAATCGTGTTGAGTCTATATATTTCATTGCTTATGCAGACATTTTTACCAATGCTGATTCTTCCTTTCAATGACATGAAATCATTTCTGTTACTTTGCATTTTCTCCTATTTCTTTTGACAATGTTTTATTCTTTTTCTTCCAGACTTGTCTGGCTCCTTGTGCCCTTTTCCGAGGGGTTGCTACCAGAGGTACCTTTGACTTCTGGGTAGATTTGGGGCTTCACTTGCCCTGCTTTGGGTCATGTGCAAACATTGTGTTTAATATATTTTTCTTTCAAAACAGGTAAACACACATATATATTTATGCACAGAGGTGTTTTTCTGATTTCATGCTTCATATTTAAGGGTAATCTGAGAGAAGGGTGAAGATGATAGAAATGAAAACAGTGAATGTTTGGATTCATATGCAATAAAATAATGCAGTATTATAGAGACCAAGATTTAAAGTGGAATGAGTGACCATATCTTTTATAATGGATTCCTTTTCTTATCTCAATGCCTCAAAGATACTATAGACAATAATGATTACATTGAAGCATTTCAGAGTCTACTGTACCAAATAATGGGTTAGAATATTTACAATTTAATTTACAATTTCTGCTCAAATAAGTGTATATTTTCAATATAAATTAACCATAAACAAGGAATTGAGAGACTAAACCACATTCATATTATATTTCACTTTTGAACTTTATATGAAAGAAATATATTACATTATCAATTGTTATTAATTTGCACATCATTTACATAACTATAATTTGTGGAGTGCAATTTCACACCTACATACCTGTCTGTGATTCACACTCTCATCAAAGCTCCAGTAGAATGATCTGTAATCTTCCCTTACCTATCACCTCCTCATTCTCTACATCCCTTTTGATGACTACTTTCCTTATCACAGAGGCTGAGAGCCTTCAAAGGTGAATTGTCATCATAGTGGGGGTAGGTATAAGGCAAGTAGGGTTAGGGCTGGGCTATATGGCTTTTCTCTTCTTCTCACTGTTGAGACTTGGAGAAGAATAAATGTGTTTTGGGTTGGGGAAGTCTCTGGCCTGTGGATTGAAGGTCTTCAGCAACAGCCCATCAGACACTGGTATCCGTAGTGGAAAACCAAGTCCTGGTTGAGAACCAACACCAAATTTGAGTACTAGATGTATCCTCAAATCTGCAATTAAGGTCCATCACTTTGATGGATTTAACTTTGGGCAAATGACTAAACCCCACCAAGAACCCTGTCTGTAATAGAGAATAGAGTTTGTAAATGTACTTCCTCATGGAATGAATGCCTTAAAAATTAAATCACAGACACCCTATGTAATTCTAAAGATAGATTATAGTGAATAAAATAACCTATGTAACATATAATTGATAAACACTGTATTTAGGGACTAAATTATAGCTATTATTGTGACAGAAGTATGAAATGCCTAATAGTTTTAGCAAAGGGTCATGAAGGTCATGAGGTCCATGCCATGCTTTATTATCACAAGATCCCAGGTTGATTTCCCACCGTCAAGGATGACAACAGCTCTCTGGATACTAGAAGTTATGTTCCCAGGACTAGCCAAAGCTTTGAAGACGTGAGGAACCTAATCTAGACCCATTCCTCAGTCTTGTATTTGGTTAGAAAATTAAAATCTGAAATCAGATAATATGCTAGAAATTTAGAGATCTGAAAAGGAGGCAAGTTCACAGAAGAGCGAAAAAATGCAATTAATTTGATTGTGAACCTAAACTCTTGGGAACAGGAAAACTTTATTGTCCAGAACTGTTTTCCACAGGGGAATTGTTTACATACAAGTTGGAGTAATGAGGAAATGTGACTAATGAGCAGAAAGAGAGAGTTGTAAACACATTGTCTGAATCCCTGCATATATAATCATGGGCAGGAAGGGGCAAGCTTTTGTAGTGTTTGTGTTTAGTCCTTTTTCTGTTTAGGGAACAGATGGTTCACTCCTCCCTGCTGTGTCTTCTGGGTACAGAGCTCAGGTTACTGTCACTTCCATCCAATAAGGAATTCAGATCTCCACATGAGACCCTCTCAGAGACCTGGTTCAGGTGAGCCCAGCAACCCAATTGATCCTCAGGAGAGAGAAATGAGCCCAAGAACATTTACTTGTTGTCATGTGAGAGGCAATTTATCTTTACCTTAACTGAAGGAAAGAGATACTTGTGATTGCTCATGTTTGATTAAATAACAAAGGTAATTATTTCAATGGTCATGTAATTTTTCAGTGTGAAATACAATGTTGATCATTTTTATATCAATAATTTGTTATTTTCAGTAAATTGTTATTGTAACAAGGTTCATAAAACATGTGGAGATTAAGTTCAAAGTGTGGTTCTAAGTGGGAAACTTTGTCTCCCAGGGACAGTGAGCAATGTCCATGGACATTTCAGGCTCACAGCAAGGGGTGGGGGGAGACCAGGATGCCCCAAATATCTTACAATGCACAGGACAGACTTCACCACAGAAATACCTGCCCAAATGTCACTTGTGCTGACACAGAAACATGACCCATTTTCTCTTGGGTGTGCAATATGTAAGATATTTATCATAAGAAAATCATAAAAATATCACCATGTCTTACTTGGGCAGAGTTTTTTATTCTTTCATCATTTTTGTAGGGTATCAAGGAAATATAATCAGGGTTGAGAAGGCCACAGAGCTGAGCATCTGAAGAACCATCTAGCTTATTCAATTTTTCCCTCTTTATTCACTTTGTTTCCCTTCTTTATTCTCCTCCTCCTCTTGCTTCTCCTTCCCCCATTCAGAAGTATGTCTTTTTGTGTTATTGATATTTTCTTTTGCTGTGCAGATGACTTCACATCTTTCAAGTTAAATATATGAAGCAAGCATCATCTTCAGCACCTGTTCACTTGCTGTTCTCTTTGCTGGGCACACATGACATCACATAACCTTGAGCCCCTCTCCCCTCTCTCACCTGAGGTCTTTGTTCAAATGTGGCATGTCCACAGGAATCCAGGTCTTATCCAAATACCCAAGAAAAATTATATCCCCATTCACTCTCTATTTTATAATTGGTTTCTTTTTCTTGGTCCCAAAATTCACAATATAAAATGTTATATATAATTTTTATTCTTTACTGATGTATTCTTTCTCCACCATTGAATTGGAATTTTGTATTACCATGCTTTAAGTTATCATCTAGAAAGTGTGTAAACCACAGTCAGCATTCCATTTATTAATATATTCCTTAAATAAAATAATTTATTATCAAAACTGTCTAAAACATGATCCTACAGGTGAAAAAGAAAAAATGACAGGGGCAAAAATTCTATATCAGATGTGTCACAGAGGATGCCCTAAAGGAAATCATAAAGAGGATATTATAATTAACTTCTTACAAAAATATAAATGGAGACAATTCAAGTAAATAGGTTAGTGATAGAAGTTTTTGAAAATAAGTCTTGTTATTTCTCTTTTTCTGGACGTCACCTGCACTACATGAAACCAGTCAATGATACACAAATTTCAGAATTTCTTCTCCTGAGTTTTTCAGAGGAAGCAGAACAGCAATCCCTCTTATTAGGACTATTCCTCACCATGTATCTGATCACTGTGCTTGGAAACCTGCTCATCATCCTGGCCGTCAGCTCTGACTCCCATCTCCAGACGCCCATGTACTTCTTCCTCTCCAACCTGTCCTTTGCTGACATCTGTTTCACCTCGACCACCATCCCAAAGATGTTGGTTAACATCCAGACACACAGCAAAGTCATTACCTATAAAGGTTGCATCACCCAGGTGTATTTTTCCATACTCTTTGCAGGATTGGACAACTTTCTCCTGATTGTGATGGCCTATGACCGCTATGTGGCCATCTGTCACCCCTTGCACTACATGGTTATCATGAACCCTCAGCTGTGTGGACTGCTGGTCCTGATGATCTGGATCATCAGTGCTGTGTATTCCTTAATACAAAGCTTAATGCTGTTACAGCTGTCCTTCTGCACAAATGTGGAAATCCCACACTTTTTCTGTGAACTCAACCAGGTTGTCAAACTGGCCTGTTCTGACACATTTCTCAACGATATGGTAATGTATTTTGAGACTATCCTACTCTGTGGTGGTTCCCTTTTTGTTATCTTTTACTCTTACTGTAAGATAGTTTCTTCCATCCGCAGAATCGCTTCAGCTCAGGGCAAGTATAAAGCATTTTCCACGTGTGCATCTCACCTCTCAGTTGTCTCTTTATTTTACTGCACAGCCCTGGGAGTGTACCTTAGTTCTGCTGTTCCCCACAGCTCTCTCTTAAGTGCAATAGCCTCGGTGATATATACTGTGGTCACACCCATGCTGAACCCCTTCATCTACAGCCTGAGGAACAAAGACATAAAAAGTGCCCTGACAACATTCATTTTAAAGACATATACAAAAAGATAATTATCCCAGGGCTGAAGAAGCATCCATAATTTTAAACTTTGGAGACTAATTGTCAGAAATTGGACTTTATTGATCAAACTAGGAAGGAGAACTTGCTCTTTTTTCACATCGTGGAATTTCCTCTTGGACCTCAATTTCTCTATTTTGTTTACATAACTCACTTTATTATATTTTCAGCTCTTTTTGATGTTTAACAGATTTTCCCTTTGTGGTTTTCCTACTTCATGAAATTTATTCCAATCTTAACAAGAAAAAAATAGATATTCCCCTCACATAATATGACAACATGGATTTCTTATAATGGTTCCTTACAATGTCATATAACATACCAAATATTTTATTTTGTTTGTTGTAGTTTAAGGTCATCAAATTCTGCTATTCCTAAGGCTAACAAACTATACTTGATGACCAAGGATGCTTATATAATTTTATAACAGAGGAAGTACGATAACAAAGCTTTTCATCTTTTTTTATTTTTTTAAAGATTTATTTATTAATACAAACACTGGGTACAGTCCGAAGGGTGGGAGTGTGAGAGAATTCATCAGAGCCAGAGTGGGGAACAGAACAGGTAGACAGATGAAGTACACTGCTGAGGGGAGCAGCAGGCGTGGGAGGAGAGGTCTGTCGCACCATGTGGGAACCTCGCTGGTGGCCGGGCATCGAACTGGCACTGTAGAGGTTGCGGGCAGCTTCACAGCCCAGTGCTCAACTGCTGCGCCACCAGGGGAGGCCCAGCTTTTCATCTTTTTGCCATCCTTTTGTGTTCACTACATTAACCACCCTCCTGACAAAAAGGACACTTAACAGATAGTGGGCTCCATAGCTCCCTAGGTTTTATTCCCCTCTTAGGATCCTGTTCTTCATATCTGTATACATTAAACATCCCTTAGTCCAAGCCAACATGATTATCACACATATTAGTCTTTGCTGAAGACATATTTTAATAAATATGTTGACCTAATTAATATGACCTTAAGATCAAAATAATCTTCAATATCATGAAACAAATTTTAATCATCTAGTAAAATACAATTAATGCATTGTGTTCCCATTTCATGTGGTACACCTACTTCTTCAAATATGGAGAATTCATGTCTGTAAGTTGAAAAAAAGTGATAGGAATTGAAAAAAAAAATGGTACTGATTTATTGGCATGTGTCTGGTTGAAACCTTCCAATGCTGCGAAACCTAGGACTGCTTTTCTAGCTCTTAAAGGAAACAATTCCCCTTCTTATTTTTTATAAAGAAAATGATAGTGAGTTAATTCTATAATATTATCATATTTATATATCTTCATTATACACAGAACTTTATCATCTTTTGTGATGAAAGCATGACTGTGAGAGTACTTCAATTCCTCTCCGGGAATGCAATAAGGGTCACTGTTTTCCTATAAAAAGACCACCTCTTCTAGTTACCTGGAAATTAGCTGTGTAGAATTTTTAAATACAGTTGTCTGATACTAATATAACCACAAATGCCAAGAAAAAATCCAAACCAGTGAAGATTATTATAATTTTCTAAAACTCTATTCACTGTGACTGTAGTTATCATCTAGCTGCTACTTCCAGGACTTCCTACATGCAAGTGAGTTAATATCAGGCCCTGAGGACCAGGAGCTACTGTGATTCACTAGGCTCTGCAGGGCTCCACAGGCAGCTTGAGTGTCTATATTGTGCTTGTGAGGCTTGTCCAGGGTGATGCCTGTGCCAGGGTCTCTCCCAGGAATATATGCTAAATTCACCATATTTATGTATCTACGCTCATCTTTTATTTTTTTTTCAAAATATAATACATCTTTTTATTATTTTTTATAATTTTTTAAATTTTTACATCATTATTCATTTATTTTTGCAGCAAGAAATAGTATTGAATGTGAATTTCTTTATTTCTGTGATTCCTATTTTACATGTAATATTTCCCTTTGTTCTCAAGTAAAAGCAATGGCTCTTACCACTGTTCACTTTTAATCAGTGACCTGTGCTGTGAATATTACTCTGATGCAGGAATCTTAAAACATTTTCCTTTTAAGTATTTATTATTACACTGCATAATATGTTGTACATATTTACAATGTGCTTTTTGATGACTAGAAAGAACCATAGAAAGCTATAGCACTTGTTATACGTTCCCATTTGTGTCCAATTCAAGAAGTGTGTGGTAAGATTTAATGGAATTTTGTGAACTCTTAGAAATGAAGTCTCCCACAATCTCAACTTCCTTATTTCTGAAGGTAACGTGGGATAAGAAATACCACTTCAGATCAATGTTGCCGGCAATAAATGATATGTGTGGACATATTTTTTTGAATAAAATTTTTATAGTTAAAGTTTGTGTGTATGTATTTGTGTATTTATTAGTAAAAGTTTTATTTTAATTAAACACACATATTGATGTACACAACAAACTCAAATTTCCTCTCAATTTGACAGAGGTTAGAAAAAATAATGAATGTTTGAACTAACATGTAATTAAAAGAATATAGAATTCAGGGCTTCCCTGTTGGTGCAGGCAGTAGAGTGCTGCACTGTGGAGCTGTCCACAGCCTCTGCAGCATGGGTTTGATCCTGGCCAGCCGGGGAGAAACTCAGATGGTGCAGCAGACCTCTCCTGCCTCACCCGCTGCTCCCCTCAGCAGGGTATTTTGTCAATCTACCTGTTCTGTTCCCAACTTTGTCTCTGGTTAATATCCTCTCACCCTCCCGAGCAGCTGGCCTGTACCCTGGTTCTTGTATAAATAAATGAATCTTTAAAAAAAAATAATATGGAATTAAGACACAACACCATAAAGCAAGTGGTGGACATATATTTAATGATGAATTCATTTTTTATATGATTGTCACTTAGGTGTCAAATCTTTTTTCCCTTGTTTATATAAAGAAATTTTTGTTTTATTTATTGAATTAATATCAAGATATATCATGGCATATGTCTTAGGGGTATTAGATTACACCTCAAAAATTGCATGTTATTTAGCCATACTCACAACATAAGCCCCAGGATTCCTCCCTTAGATCCCAACCACCCATTTGTTCCTAACCTACCACATCCCCCTTCTGGGAGCCTCACTCAAAATTCAATGTGTTCTTCCCCTTCTGTTCTCAGTCTGCACCTTTCTGCTCCTCTCTTGGATGCCCAGATCAATGGTGCTTTTAATATTTTCTTTGTCTGACCTTCTATTTGGTCTTTCTATGTTGAACATTGTAGGGTAAACGATTCTCAGGCTTTTCTGTCCTCTAGTCACTAGGATTGCCCTGCCTGATGCCCCACCCCATATTTTGTTACATTCTTATCAGTTGTGTTGTTTACTTCTGAGGGCCATAGTAGCAGTATTGAGATATTCCCCAAGAGAAGCAGAGGTAGGAGAGAGGCAGGAGAAAGAAGGAGAGAAAGAAAGCTAGAGAAGCCCAGAGTGAAGACTACCGGCCTCCTGGCCCCTGGAACCCCTGCCTGCCATGTACCCGATTGCTGTACTACATGTAAAAGCTCAATAAAAGCCTGAAAAAACCCACCCAAGCCTCCAGGACTCTCCTTTACCCATCTGCCAGATCATAGAAACAGCTCCATCCCATCCTGCCATTACACACATATACGTGAAATCATCTGGTATTTATCTTTCTCTTCTGATTTATTTCACTAAGCATAATCCCTTCCACCTATATCTAAGTTGACACCATATGCCATGATTCTATCTTTTTTAATTGCTGAGTACATGCCAAAAATATCCATTCATCTGTTTTGGGACTTTGATATTGTTTCCTTATCTTGGCTATTGTAAATATCTGTCAATAAACGTAGGAGTGCAGGTTCCTTTTTGATTTAGTGTTTTTCATGTTCTTTGGTAGATTACTAGGAGTAAAGTTTCTGGGTCATAGGGCACATCATCTTTTAGTGTTTTGAGTAACTTCAATACAACTTCCAGAGAGTCTGGACCTGTCTAGATTCCACCAACAGTGAAATAGCTTCATTTTTCCCCCACACCCTCCCCAGCACTTGTTGATTTTGTTGATTTTATCATGACCATTCTCACAGGTGTGAGATGGTATCTCATTGTGCTTTAATCTACATTTCCTTGATGCTAAGTGATGGCAAATGACTAACATATTTTCAGGTCTATTGGCCAAGTGATGTCTTCTTTAGAGGACTGTCTACTTGGAGATTTTGTACATTTTATTATTGGTTCATTTGTTTATTTTTTGATCATTTTTATTTTCTCTTATATATATTTTTAATATTTTATCTTATATAATTCTTACACCATTTTTTAAATTTTTGCACAATGTATGCATTTTCATTTTGGTTATATTCCCCATACAATTGTACCCCCCCCCCTTATTTTGACCCTAGTCCTTCCTCTCCCTGCCCCACACCCCCGTAGTGTGTCTCTGGTTTACAGTGCTTGTTGATTTTGATTTTTACTTTGTATTAACTAGTCCTTTTCCTGGTCCCTAATTTAGGTTTACTAAATTCCTGCTATAAGTGAGACCATCCGGTATTTTTCTGTTTCTTTCTGACTTATTTTGCTGAGCATGATCCCTTCTAGCTCCATCCATGTTGCAGCAAACTACATGTGTTTATCTTTTTTGATTGCTGAGTAATATTCCATTGTGCCTATGTACCACATCTTCTTGAGCCAGTCATCTATTTTTGGACATTTGGGTTGTTTCCATAGCTTAGCTATTATAAATAGTGCTGATATAAACATAGGGATGCAGGTGCCCTTTGGAATTAATGTTTCTGTGTCATTTGGTAAATACCTAGGAATGGAATTTCTAGATCATATGGAAGCTCTATCTTTAGTAGGTCAAGAAATCTCCACACAAACAATAAATCTGAAGAAAAATAAATAAAAAAATATATTTTATTATTGAAACAAAACAAATCAAATACTCGGGAATAATCTAACAAAAGAGGTAAAAGACCTATACAAAGAAAACTATAAAACACTGTTAAAAGAAATAGAAGAAGACACAAAGAAATGGAAAGACATCCCCTGC